GAGGTTTTTATTATGGTTCTGGAAAATAAGAGGAACCTACCAAAAAAAATGAGGTCTTTACTATGGTTCAGGAAAATAACAGAAATCTGTAAAACTTGATGGTAAAAATCTTACAGTTATTCTTTATCATCACGAACACATGTGCATTTAATACTTTATTATACGTACTCATAAGACGTGCTGATCTGGCAGGATTTTAAACAAAAACAGGAACTTTCTCACACTCAGCAGTTTGCTCTATTCAGGTACTATAATTGATCTCTTTCAATGTCACACATTTTTGATCAAGAGTTAGCACCTTGACAACACCACCAGCATCCTGCCCTTTCATCAGATTGTACACTAATATATTATAATCACATGAGAACAGTTCCATGAAAACTGTATTTTCATGTCTCGGTTTTCTCATTCCTTGAACATAAGATGCAGATGTGGGTATATACAGGCTTAAACTGTAACACGAAAGAAGTATTGTATGAACACTTCTGTACCTTAAAGTTTGAAAATAATAAATATATATATATATATATATCACAAACCAATTGCTGAGGAGGGATGTTATGATATAAGACGTCACAAACTCATAGACTCACTAATGTGAAAAAATATACATATTATATGTAAACCTGCAACTCCCTGTCTTGATGTCAATTCACTCATAACTGCAAACAATAACCTTTGACCGTTAAAGTTTCCCTCAAGGACACGCATAATGTAAAGGCACTGACTTCTATACTATCAGGTCACTTTTCATACTGAAGTCTTATTCTTCAAACTTAGTAACATATGCCTAACAATATTATTTATTAAAATCGCCTCTTTAAGCCTATAAAAAGGAACATTTTAGTAAGTCTGTAAGTATTCTGGTTCAGCATTTGAAAGATATTTTTGGTGAGCAGGATATTTTACAAGTCAGTAATATGATAAAAAGCTACTTTAATCAATGTAACCAGTATATGATTGCTATGAGTAATTAATATAGTGCAAGTACGTTTATTATATCACTGAATAATTGTTATTACTTTATATAAAACCCACAGAAAATATGTTGCGCTATCTAGTGACTGATGGATAAACTATATTATTAGCCCATTATAAAATGGATCATATTAGATTCATACAGAAAGAAATCCCTACACTTTTTATTTTGCCTCATTATATCTTACCTTTTGCTGTCATCCTTTCCTTCGATACCCCCAATTACCTGACCTGCAAATATGCTTAAACACAAGTTTACCCATTTGAGATGAAGGTATATTAGTTATTATGTGTTAATTTTGTTGCGAAAATATTTTATCAGATCGCTCAAAATCTAAACCTCAAAGCACAATTTAAGAACATCGGATTACAATTTGACTTTTCAAAATTTTTTTATGAGTCACTAAATTTCGAGAGGAACAAACCGGGCGCAGGCTAGTGGTTAGCGCACCAGAGCTGTGAATTCAAGGGTTCGTGTCACGTGGACACAATAGCGTGCTCCATTTTTTATGGCAATGAATACCATATAAAGAGTTACAGTCAAACTTTGCTATTCGGTCTGGCAAGAGTAGCTCAAGAGTTAGCAGCCAATCGCTGTTTAAGAGTAGCTTTGAGCGAAAATTCTAAAAATAAAGAAATAAAAAACATTCTAGGCAGAATGCTGAACATTTATGTATTAAAATAATATCCCATATGGTACAACAATTTTTACAAACGATTAAAAATTATTGTTTTACACAAACAACGCCGTTTCTAACGCTACTTTCTAAATTCTACTGAAACAATTTATAAATTTGGGTAAAAAAGTATAAAAATCAACGCTTTTCGAAAATTCTGTTTAACAAATTGACTTTATCTAAAGATATAACTACACACCCACGCACACACGCATACACAGCGTGGTCACAAGTAAATAGACACCACCTTTTCAGAAAAAAAAAATT